AAACATACAAGATCTGTTCCAAAACCTAGTGTGCTGCTTACGGAGGCAGCATTTTAAGACATCACATGGCTATTCCAGAATGTAGGCAGCTTAATTATGCCGCCTCCTACTTTGTTTAGGGCAGCATCACATATATCCTTTATAGAGAAGGCAATTCCATAATACATTGCAATGAGCTCTGTAAAAATTTGATCCAAGATGGTGGATAGGGAGAGAGAATTATAAATAAGCTTATATTATCATAAAAATGATTTAATTGCAATTATAAAGTGTTTTACCTGATATTTATTTTTTCTATGTTTTGCTTTTTTTTTGTTTTTGCTTTGGAGTACTGTAGTGTTAGCTTAGCAGCACGCTAGCACCAAACTTATTTAAAATGAATTATGAAAATGTGGTATAAGCATAAAACAGGCCACTGCATGTTTTCTTGTAGAATATAAGTTGCTTATTACTCCTCGATTATGTATATATGATATTCACGGTGGATTGCTTGGGTTGTGGTCAGATCACAGTGACACAAATTGGTATAGATTTACACAGAACTAACTGACGAAACAATTAAATACCCTTCTAAGATCAATGGCGCACACTCTGTTTATGTTTATGAGACATTTCTCTTTTTCTAATAGCTTTATTTTAGATGTTTAGCTTTTTCTAACAGCTAGATGTTTGCAGGATGTGAAATGTTTTAGAGGTTGTTGTGGAATGATTTCTAAACATAATAAATAATATCAATTACTCAAAAATCATGACTGAGGCTAGCAGAGTGACAACTTTAAAGTGCACCATTATATAGTGGCAGATGAATGGTATAGTGATATAGAGACATTAGCATAAGCCCACGATCATTTTATTGAAAAGCAAATGACTCTTTTTAGATCATAAAGTTAATGGTGCTGCTTTTTATTACTTTGTTATTGGTTTTATAGAGCAAACTAAAGCTGTATTAATGTCTGCTGAGTCCTTTATATTTTTTGTTGAATTGCTAATTTTATTGTGAGCATTATGCATTTAAAAATCTGTTTTGATTGCCCCATGGACTTCTGTCTAGTGGAAGAATGGGAAGTACTGTATTGTCTTACTAACAGAGGCGCATGATAACATTATAATCTGAGTTTACGTATTATCTGTATTTTAATGTATGCAAGATTAGTATGTCCTAAATTGCAGTATGTTGAAAAGTGTTTGGGTGGCCATTCCTGGTGGATCCATGCATGCTTTTGAACTATATTGCAGAAACGCTTGCAAACGTTTTCCATACTAACGCTGCCAAAGGCATGTAGCAGTCTGAGTGACACTCAATTAACAGCCATTCACTGACACGCAAGGAAATATTCATTTCTGTCAGCATCTGCCCACGGGCTTCTTCAGGAAAATACACAAGCAAACAATGCACATGCACTTTAACCTTCAGGGTTCCTTATCTTCTTCTATAAGGTAATTTATTAAATTAAAAACTGAAAATAAATAAATATAAAACTGTTATTTTTAGTTATAATATTTCACAATATTACTATTTTTACTGTTTTAGATATCTATGTGAAGAATTACAACTGAAAGCATCTGCTTAATGAAAAAATAATGTAATTTGCTCATCCTCATGTTGTTGTTCTCAGTATAATAAAGGTGAATGAGGACTGGGGCTGTCACCCTCCAAAAAAAAACAGAAAAAGGGCCTTATGATATGTGCACTATAGAACTTCTGAAGTCAGTCAAAATTCTTTAGTCACTAGTAAGCTTTCCATTCAGATATTAACCTACAGAGCCTCTGTTACACCAGCCCTGCACATGACGTGCGGATTGTGCCCATATTGTGGCAAGATATTGTGCCTACAAATGAACTAAATTAAAACAAGGGAACAAGTGGGTACAACATGGCTGCGATTTACCTAAAATTAGGGAACAAATTAAACCAACATGGCCAAGATTTAAGTAATTAATAAGTTGTGAGAAGAAATACTGTATGGCCAGTGAGAATTGAGTCAATCAGTTCTTTTGTACTGTATTAATCAAATAATTATGAAAAATTATGAATAATTCTGTTTTTAACATTAATAATAATAAGTAATTTTTCTTGAGCAGCAAATAAGCATATTGATGGATCATGTGACACTGAAGACTGGCGTAATGGCTGCTGAAAATCCAGCTTTACAGGAATAAATTACATTTTTAAATAAATTAAAATAGAAAACTATTATTTTTAATTATAATATTTCACAATATTACTATTTTTACTGTTTTTAATCAAACAAATGCAGCCTTGGTGAACATAAGAGACTTCTTTTAAAAACATACAAAAAAATAAAAAAAATCTTGAACAATAATATATGTTTCCAGGAATGAATCTTTATGGTAGCGAGCTGACCCAGGACTGAGGTGACATGTTTGTGTGTGCTTTTGTGTGACTTGCCATGAGAGGTAGGGATAGCACGTTTTGCTCACACACACATGCACCATGTGACAGGAATCCTACCACAGCTGCATATGTATCATGAGCAAACACACACGTACACACACACACATATCTAAAGTCACTCATGCTGATCGGTGCAGGATTGCACGGCTGGACTACTCGGCACTATTCCTGGACACACATTACCACACATACTCGACCTGATGGAAAGGAGAGAAAGTTTGAAGGACATTTATTGCCGTGTGTGTGATAGAAAGAGAAATGCCAGTTGTACTATGCTGCCTTTTTGTGGAACAGTATATTGTGAAACTGTATTCTGTATGATAATCATACGCTAAATGTTACAGTGTGTAGAGGTATACTATTTCGGTTGATTGCTGTTGAGCCGATTGTTTTGAAGCTTTGGTGTTGCTGGCAAAACTCAGCTGTTGCCGTGTTGGTAGTTACCAGTCCCCTGGTGTGAAGAGATTTGTTACGCAGAGAGAGAGAGAGAGAGACTGCATGTGTGTGTGTGTGTGTGTGTTGCTACTGTACTGCTTGTAAAATGCATCGGCACTGCAGTAATTGACAGTTCGTCGATGCAGTCATCTGGCAACCCACCGGCATGATTCTGCTGATCCCAGAGCAGCTCTTACGCAAACGCACGCTCCCTATCACACCGCTGCAGACATCATGTGTGAGTTTTTGTTCACCTCCTTAGCCATGCGCTTCCATCGAAAGACTAAGCTACCGCACAGGGCACACGCCTACATGTGAGTAAAGGACTGAAAAAACAGAATAATGAATGTTAAATATTATATGTGAAGATATGGGACAATAGTTCAGCCTGACCAATGTTTTTTATGACACATACAAATAATTTTTAAGTGTCTGATAACCGATGTCCATAATCAGTTTTTAATTATTATTTTATTTGTGCTGTTTGACAATACTAAATGATCATCGGACTATAACAGTAAACATAGTATGCAGCATAATATTGATAATGCACAATTAAAACAACTTTGCATAATAAATTACTATTGATAATGATAATCATTAGTAGTAGTAGTTTATGCAAAGTTGATTTGGTAATAAAGTAACATATTCAGTTGAAAAGTGAATATTGGTAAAAATGTATCCATAACCAGTTTTTTTATTATTTTATTTGTGCTTTTTGGCTACAACAAGCACATTAACAAAACATTGGACTATATTAGACTACAATAAGAAAACATGCATTATTATTATGCATAACAACATTAACTTTATTATTATTGTTGTTATTTCTGCAATGTTGTCTTATAAAATATAGAACTGTTAACTAAATTGAAAAGTGAATATCAGTTTTAAAATGATGGTGAAGCCAGTTTAATTTATAATTATATAAATTAATAAATTGATCATTTATAAGTACCGTTTTTCTGCAGATATCAGCATGAACACATTTAATAATCATTTTATACAAGTTCAGTAAAGCAATAAGTGACTTACATTTTAGACATAATATTTCTTGTTTTTGGTCAATTTTGCCAACGAAAATAGCTACAAATAAAGATCACAGCACTGTTTTGCCTCTCTGAGCAAAGGACGGTGTTTACATAATGAATGAATCAGCTTTTTGAACGAATCGGTTGAATAAATGATTCAGTGATTCACTCATTAACTCAGTCAAATGCAAATTGTTCCTGAATGAATCAGCCATTTGAATAAATCAGTTGAATCTCAATGACTCACTGATTAACAGTCACTTGCTGCCACCTACTGGCGGTCTTAATTTCACATTTCGACCATATTTTAATGTTTTAAATTATTTCAAATATCAGTATTCAACGTTTTATGTTAAAAACAAAACATTATACCTATTTATGCATCTGTAGCTGCAGTTTAAATGCATCAATGTCCCCTCTGAAATACATAACCTGTGTAAATACATCTAAATGCTATTTCAGATGCAGATTCCAGAAATGCTTTCTTATGTTGGAATGAAAGACACTAAGTACTGGATGAAGTGCTTCTTATTCTTACCCAAAAAAAACTGAATACAATCTTGCTACTCAAGCTGTGTATGAACATTTTATATATATATTTATTTGCTTCTTTTCCATTTTGCTTTTACTTTTACTTTTACTTTCAATACTTAAGTACGTTTAAGATTAGGGCTGCACGATAAATCGCATGCGATATTTAACGCGCATCTTGTCAGTAAAGCCATTCTGTAATCAGCGGTAAATCTCCATCACGTGCGGGCTTTCACATGGAGCAGCTTTAACTACACAGAGCCGTTGTTCACAGATGAGCTGCGCAAAACATGCGCAAAATATGATCGTGGTTTTGCGCAGCTTGTCAGTGACCTCCCTCCATCTTCTCTTGTTTCTCCCTCGTTCTCCTGTATTCCGGCCAGATGGCTGAGTCCTGACTGGGCTGCATATGGGCATTTGAAATGCTAATGTTGGTTAGTGTGCTAATATGTTTGTCTACACTGATCAGTTTCAGTGCCAAGATTACAGACTTGTTTTAGTCTCAACTTGTCAACAAATAAGACCATTTGTGGCAGTTGTTGACCTAGAGCTCATTCTCTATCTCTCTCTGTCTTGTTTCCTCTCAGTGTGGAGGGAGATCCTCAGTGTCCGGACACGGCTAGCTTTTCCGACAGCACCTGTAGTCAGGGCCCATACCTGGGCAACTCAGAGCGCTACGGGAACATCCGAAACATTCCTGGCCCTCAGGGGCCTCCTGTGGCCCCTTCGAGCCCAGCGACCCTGGCCTGGGCGCAACGGACCCGCAACCAGCCCGCCAGCCTGGCACTCCGCAAGCAAGAGGAAGAAGAGAGCAAGCGCTGCAAAGTGCTCTCTGACAGCTATGAGCTCTCCACGGACCTGCAGGACAAGAAGGTGTGGATCTGCGTTCCTCAATAAACATATAGTCCTTAAGGTCTTTTAGCTGCCTCTTGGAGTTCCCATTGTGTGTTTACCATGGTTAAGGGTTCACCTGGTCATGAAAATTCAAAATATAAAAAAAATAAATACATTATTATTTAATGGGGGGGCCCATGAACATGTCCACCCCACGGACATCCCTGTGCCCCCACTCCGGACCGAGGGGGACGGCCGGACTTTAGTTTCGCGTGTATAATAGTCTAACTCGTAGTGTAAAATAGTCTAACTGATTGCTTTTAGATGAAAAAGCTGCCCATAACTCGGTCTAGGATCTGTTTTCTTCGTAATAATAGCATAACGAAATACATTTGGCAAACAATCCAGTGTATCTGCCCTTCTGTTTTGGAAAGCGTCAAATGATTTTACAATGCATTTTTGCAAAGGGGATCAAAGTAGCCAATCACAGACATGTTTGTTGATTTCTACAACACAATGGCCAATCAGATGTGTTTAGGTTGGAATCCACGCACTCACCGCTTTTTGTCCGGTGCTGAGTTCTATCATGCTCGTAACTTCATAAAAAAAAAAGGTTTCATTGTGTGGTCACATTCATTGGTTAAAACGGAACTTTGTGAGATCGTGATGAATGAGTGACAGTTTTTAATAAATTTAAAGGAAGCGCTCTTTCCATGCTGTATACGATAATATATTCAGAATTTCAATAAAACGTGTTTTTCATGCTTGACAAGCGGCCACGTAGCTACGACAGAGATTGTTAACTACACTATATAGAAAAATATAATAGCCTAATTTCAGAAGCACAAAGTGATGTGATTCTGCAACCGAGCCTGGTCCAAACGCAGGATTTAGGTAAGGAAACGGTTATTAATTATTTGTATTGGCTGCCATGCCAAATCATGCACCTGCTTGCTTTTCTGTGTAATTTAACAGTGTTTTTGTGAATATGTATATACTTTAATAACAAATAATTGTAACACTTTACAATAAGGTTCGATTAGTTAATGTTAGTTAATGTATTCAAC